TGCTGCGACATCATCCAGACAAGGGGCAACTTTCCGTTGCCGTGCAGCGTCCTTCAAACAAGGGACAATTTTCCATTGCCTCTGAACCAAGGCTGCGCATCTCGGGGGTAAGTTCTTAGCACCGGCCGTTTGCGAAAATATTTTTTGAAAATTTTTACTGAGGTTGACTATTTTCTCGAAAACTATTTCATTTCTCCAAAACTTAGACCGTTTTGGACCCAAAAAAAGGAAAATTTTCAGTGCTCATAGCCTGACTTGCATGATTTTCAAATCAAAAATCGAACAAGTGTGTTAATCTAACTCTCATATTGGCCAAAATTGTTTTAGTAGAAAGCCAAAACAAAAATGGTCATAATGATGAACTAGGGGCACGGTTGAGTCAGGCTTCCTGTTTTTCTCCCATCGCCAACATACTTGCCAAGAAGGGCACAACTCAAGCTGTCATTAAAGGGCTGAAAGCTCTCTCAACCTCCGAGCAACGAGGTATCGAACCAAGTGCGAAGCACGAATCGGGATGGATCAAGACACTCCATTCCCTCATCCAGGGCATCGACCAGACATCCCCGGAGGAAATAGCCGCGAGCTAACAATGTTGGGCGTGAACCCACAACTTCCTATTCATCCATTAAAAAAATCCTGGGGAGGGATAAAAATGAGAGAATAAAGAATAGAGAGGTGTAAGTTGAGAAAAAAAAAGTGAGCAAAAAGGGTTTTGAGAGAAAAACCGAGCTTGAGTGGCAGAGGGATGTGAGAACCACAAATAAGAAAGAGTGGGAAACAATACCCAGAGAAACTGGCTCCTCGTGATCTGAGGTCCCCGTCTCCGTTAACACGTCTGTATGTCGTGTCTTTTGTCTTGTTTACTTCAACCTTTGTTTTGAATCTTTTTCGAGTGTGTCTCGTTGTGTTTAAGTTGTTTACCTTTTTTTTTGTCTTCGCTATTAAGTCATTCTCGCTATGTCTAGTTGTAGGCTCACTACCCCGGTTCAAAAATTAAAAAAAAAAAACCTTTCTTCAATGTCAAAAATTAACCGTTTTGTGCTCAAAATGCTGTGCCATTCTCCACATTTGTGCAATAACATGATTTGGTTCTTTCATACAACTGCAGGGTCCACCCCCGATAAGTGTGAATAGGAAAACCTGGGCCTCTTTGAAGCTTCTGGGTTTCAGATCGCATCTGAGTGTGCTTCAACTTCAATAGATTCAACCTTCATGGTCCGTCTTGTCAGATTTGGGCTGTTTGTTCAGGATCCGCTGTGTGCAAAATGAATCAAGCGCTGTGTTATGAGCTGTATGTAGATTAATCCCCAGTAGAGTATGAGCCGAGTGTTCAGAATGTGCAGTGGTTGGTATGGTTTGTTTTTGCTGTTGGCTGGTTCGTTATCTGATTATTACCAATGCACATGTTCAATTTTCAGACAACAGATCAATTTCATTTACATTGAGATGTAACATGATGCAATGCAATGCAATATATGAAAAGTACAAATGCAACACTTTTTTCAGACAAAAAGTTTGTTTCATTTCATCATCTTTTTCAAGTACATGGTTTTGGAAATAAAAATATGCCTGCGGCAGTACAGGGTAGTCTAGCTACCAGCAAAAAGTACAAAAGAAAAAGAAAAAAAAAACAGCAACAGTCTGGATCAATGACAAAAGGCCATGGTTCTAGGGGTCCGTCCTCGTCCTCTTCCTGGACGAAGGTCCAGGAGCATCATCAGCTCTGTCATCTGAGTCCGAGTCCGAGCCATCTCCGGTCTCTTCCTCCGACGACTCTGCCTCCGCCTCTGTCTCCGCCTCAGACTCGTCATCGTCTGGAACTGGCACCCGTGAGCTACTCCCGACATGGGTGCGTCCCGCCTTGGTGCGGGGGTATACTCTCCCATCTCCTCCGATAGGAACAGAAGGTCCAGCTGGGGCACCTCCTACGGCAGGGATCTGGAAGGGATGCTGAAAAGTACAAAAAACGAATGCATTAGTATACTGTGAACAGAGTATCAGTGCAGAATGTAGTGTATGAGTACAGTGCGTGAATACTGTGAACAGAGTATCAGTGCAGAATGCGGTGTATGAGTACAGTGTGTGAATACTATGAACAGAGTATCAGTGCAGAATGCAGTGTATGAGTACAGTGTGTGAATACTGTGAATAGAGTATCAGTGCAGGATGCAGTGTATGGGTACAGCGTGTGAATACTGTGAACAGAGTATCAATGCAGAATGCATTGTATGAGTACAGTGTGTGAATGCCATAAACAGTTTATCAATACAGAATACGATACATCAGATGCTGTGAGGGCAGTATGTCAGATGTCGTTTTGTGTGTCAGAGTATGTGAAACAGTCTATATATGGCTCGAGACCGTAGTCAGAAGGGCATACCAGAATGCTATAAATGGATAGAAGGTCACGACTCCGCTGGAGCATCCCCATCACTGAAGCGGTCAGCTCCAAGGACTGGCGAGTGTACTCAGAAGAGGCCTGCAAAAGTGTTAAGATGCATCAATATTCTGCGGAATATCAAATCAAATGAAATGAACTAACTATGCAGAACGCAATATGTAGTAGTATATACCGGAGGCAGGTCGTAGAAACTGACCAACTCGTGATCAGGCGGAGGGGGAGCAATAGGGATCTGGTAGGTCACCCCGCCACGCCCTCTGCATGTCATCGCCATGGGCAGAGTAGGCCAACCAGCCCCCCGCCCTCTCTGAACTCCACTCCTGCTGCGGACCCGAGCCCTCCTCGATGCTCCTGTCCCAGCCCCTGCTCCTGCCCTAGCTACCGGCACCGCAGGTCTCTCTCTCTCAGCACGACGGCCACCGCCCAGAGGTCGCATAATGTAGGTCTGGACGTACTCTCTGTAGTCGCCCTTGCCCCTAAAGCCCTCCGCATCCCAGCCGATCGTGTAATTGGCCATCTCCTGGGCGGTGAACCTCTCGGTGTCCTTCATGTGGATAGGAGGCGGACCTGGAACTATCTGCTCTGGCAAGCCCAGGGTCTGGCGTAGGAAACGCTCACCCAAATACCAAGCCCGACAGACCGGGCCCTCCAACAGGATCCGAAAATGTGAAGTCTCCTCTGCCCCTGCAAACCGATCTCGTAATCGTCGCAGGCAATGGAGCCCAAGGCTGGCAAGTGGTCTGTAAATGACATGTAGTTTGTTATCTACTGATATTGACAATACAATGTAAAGCAAAGCTTAAATAAACCGCAAGTAAAACATACCTCTGCGGGGGTAATAGTGTCAAAGTAGCGGCGAAAAAAGATGAATGTCTCCCGCGGCCTCCGCACGCACCTCACGTCGAAGCGACGCGAAAATGGGACGACGAGAGGGGTCTCTATGTCTGGCACTGGGGCGAGTCTCGGGAAGTAGGCGTAGACCCACAACTGCAGAGCAAATACCAGAAGGGTTATCAGATAAAGTAGAACACAGAATAAAGCAGAAATTGCAGGACCATGTACTGTGCAGTGTGTTGAGCAAAGTGTACAGTGTGAGCAGTGTACAGTCAGTATAAAGCAGGGTGTATATGTGTGCCGTGTGTGCAGTATACGATCAACATGAAACAGAAAGTACATTGTGTGCAGTGTACAAAGTACATAAATGAAAAGCAGAAAAAGGAAAATGTACCTCCCAAGCGCGCCAATAACCTCCAAGCAACTGCCCACTGCCACGGGAAGCCGAGCTCATGTACCCATAGAGAGTGGCCAGAGCAGCGCCGCCCCAGTCATAGTGCAGGATCCGCCTGACATCCACCAGTGCGCTAAGCAGGCAGAGAGGCACAGTGTTCGCCCGGTCGGCGAAAATGGTAGTCCCAAACAGAAACATGAGAAAGCCGCGTGCGTATCTCTCCACAGCCTCCTGAGTCATCGGAGCCTCCTCGGTCAAAGCTGGCTGGACCCTAAACTGGACCTCGAACCAGGAATATCGAATGAAGCCGGGATGCGCAAGAGGCGGCACCTCGCCGAGCAGATGGATCTGAGCAGCTGTCCACTCATCCATATCAGTATCAAAGAGGATCGGATCACCCCCTACCCCGATGCCTGTGAGCATCGAGAAATCATAGGGAGTCATCGTCATGTCTCCCATGGCAGAAAGGTGGAACGAGTCGGTGGTGTCCCACCACCTCTCTGCTAGATCGGCAAGGAGAGGCCTGCTCGTCGTCAGCCTGGAAAGCCCTCTGCAAAATGCGCCGAAGCCGGCCTGGTCCACGATGTGGCGAACCGCGTCGGGTAACTCTGCATACTAATCCCGAGCGACAATATTCCCATACCCCCGGACGGTATGGGAATCTCCCTGTTTTCAAGCAGACAACGGCGAAGAAACGCTAAAGTACAAATTTGAAAAGCATTCAGATTTGGTAGTGAACTACAACATGTGATGTGTCAGTGTGTTTGCATGGTTTGTTGTAGATACAGCATGTGGGCACATTTTCCAGATTCAAACAAATATCGGGTGCCGGTGTGCTCGTAGTGAACTACAGTGACTGATGTGTCAGTGTATTTGAGTGGTTCAGAGCGAGTGCAATGGGTGTGCACGTGTTCAGATTCAAACAGATAATAGTTGCAAGTGTGTTCGCGGTCGATTACAGTGTACAGTGCCTCAGTGCATTTGGGCTAAGCAGTTAAACAGCATAATCAGTTATGGCAGCTAAGTGTTCTACGTTGCGGAAAGTAAAGCAGAGGGAAGGATGTTACCTCGGAAGCGCCGAAGGACAAATGAGATGTAGGCTCGCACAAGAGAAGCTCTGGAGGCATGCCCCTCTCGAAGCTCCTGAACTGACGAAGTCCGTCGGGAGGAAGCACGTGAATCGTCGGCCGGTGGGTCGCCGGGTCGAACGGGCAGACACTCAAGGGGAGGAGCTAGGCCCCGGGGGCCATCTCGTGATCCGGGGGAGTCCCGCCCTGTGGGATATCATCCGCCATGTCAATGGTTGTGAAAAAATGGCCGAAAAAGTGAAAATCAGGCTGGAATGTGAAAGGTCAACGAAAAGTTGTTTCAATGTCCAAGCCTGTTTCTGAAACTGAAATCAAGGAGGTTTTTTGGTCTTTAAAGTCCAATAAAGCCCCTGGCCCGGATGGGTATTCCGCTGGTTTTTTTAAGAGCTCTTGGGATATTGTTGGTAAGGATGTCATTCTAGCTATTAAGTCTTTCTTTGACTCTAGTAAACTTCTTTCAGAGGTTAACAGTACCATCATAGCTCTTATTCCTAAAGTTCCTAATCCTACTCATGTTGGTGACTATAGACCCATCTCTTGTTGTAATACCATCTACAAATGCATTGCCAAGATCATAGCTAATAGAATTAAATTGGCCCTTCCTGATTTGATTGATCCTGTGCAGTCTGCGTTTGTCCAAGGTAGAAGGATCTCGGACAACATTTTCTTATCCCAAGAGATTATGAGAGGTTACCATAGGAGTTCCCACTCTCCTAAGTGCGCCATGAAAGTTGATATTATGAAAGCTTATGATACTGTGAGATGGGACTTTATCAATGATATCCTCAAAGCTATGGCTTTCCCTCCTTGTATGATTACCTGGATAAAGGCTTGCATCACAAGTCCTTCTTTCTCGATTTGTATTAATGGGAGCCTTCAGGGGTATTTTAAAGGGGCGAGGGGATTAAGACAAGGGGACGCTATGTCCCCGTATCTCTTTGTGTTGGCTATGGAAATTCTCGCTAGAATTTTAGCTGAGAAATCTAGGAGTCCTTTGTTCAAATTCCACTGGAGGTGTGAGAAAACTAAAATTGTCAACCTTTGTTTTGCTGATGATTTGATGATTTTCAGTAAAGGGGACCCTGGTACTGTTACTCTTATCATGCAGGGATTGGAGGAGTTTAGGGATTTGTCTGGTCTTACCCCTAATTCTAGTAAGAGTAATATTTTTTTCTCGGGGTGTAGTAGTGCGCTTAAAGAGGATATTCTTCAGATTGCCAATTTTACTGAGGGCTCCTTCCCGGTGAAATACCTTGGTGTGCCTCTTATCACTACCAAGCTTAAAGTGTCTGATTGTCATACTCTGGTTGAGAGGATTACTAAGAGGATTAAAAGTTGGACCAATAAACTGCTTTCTTATGCTGGTAGAGCCCAACTCATCCAGTCTATCCTGTTTTCAATGCAAGTGTATTGGTCCTCTCTTTTTATCCTCCCTAAGAAAATCATTGGTGACATTGAGAGCATCCTTAGATCTTTTCTTTGGTCTGGGGTTGAGTTGAAAAAACATAGTGCTAAGATTGCTTGGAGATATATTTGCAGGAAAAAAAAAATGAGGGTGGCCTTGGTTTCAAGGACTTAGCAACCTGGAACAAGGCTGCTATAGCCAAGCATGTTTGGTACTTGTTTTCTGGGGGGGATTGTTCCATGTGGTGCCAATGGGTCAAGGCTTACTTGCTTAAAGGGAGGAGCTTTTGGGCCGTTAGAACTCCTAGTGATCCCTCATGGGTCTGGAGGAAAAACCTGTCTCTCAGGCATTTAATCTATCCTCACATCAAATTCGAAATTGGTAATGGGGAAAATGTGTTCCTTTGGCATGACAATTGGCACCCGCTTGGTTCGCTGTGGCACAGGTTTGGTCCTAGAATTCTTTATGATACTAATCTTCCTGATAGCACCAAGGTTAGCTCTATAGTCTCTAATAGTTCCTGGAAGTGGCCTGTTTTGAACTCTTGGGAGATAAAGGAGTGGATCTCTTCTACCCCTTTATCTCTTCTATCTTCCGTTGGCTCTTCTGATACTCCGGTATGGAGTTTGGCTGCTGATGGTAACTTTTCTATCCAATCGGCTTGGGATTGTTGGAGGGATAAGGGCCCGAAAGTCACTTGGTCCAAACTTATCTGGGGTCCCCCTTCAATCCCTAGGGTTAGTTTTATTGCTTGGTTAGCCACCAATGAGAGACTTAATACTGGTGATAGACTTAAAACTTGTGGTCTTGTTACCACTCCTTACTGCCCTTTCTGTCAAGATCCTGAGGAGAATCATTCCCATCTTTTTTTTAGGTGCATATTTTCTTCTAGGATTTGGGGTGGTATTCTTGCCAAGTGCAAGTCTAATTGGCCTTCTTTGCCTTGGTTGGAAACTGTTGATTTTGCTGTTAGATCCACCAGTGGTACCTCCTTGAAAATGGTGATTCTGAAGCTATCATTTCTTTGCACTGTCTACCACATTTGGATGGAGAGGAATAGTAGGATCTTCAATAAGGCCCTAAAGCCTGAAGAGGTTGTTACTAACTCTATTATCCAAATGGTTAGGGGTAGGCTTCTTTCTATGGAAAATGTTAAAATTTCTGCAGGTGATAATTGGCTTTTGGAGGAATGGGATCTTCTTCCCAAAATCATGCAGCAGCACCATACTATTGCAGATGGCAGGAGAATGAGTGTTGTGAGGTTACCTACATTGAGGGTTGAGAGATGGTAAGCAACTCTTGTGGGGTTTATTAACTGGGTGCTCTTTTGCAGGTTATCATGAATCCTAAATCATCTCCCAGATTGAAGTGCCCGAATGGAGGGTTGAGTGTTGTGAGCAACCAAAATATTTCTAGACATTGTGGGTTGAGTGATGAGAGACAGCACACATGTTTTACGCTAACTTTTATTATATCTTATATATGGTTTGTGCAGGTTTTTGGAGCTTTCAAGTATAATGTCTTTCTGATTCTTTCGAGGTATCATGTCACTCATCACTATTAAACATAGCTCTCAATTGTTGTTTATATCTAACAATACTCTCAATGGCAATAAAATTTGTAGCAAATCGAGTGATGGCAAGGCGAATCAATTCTCTATCTCCAGTGAATTTTCTCATTAAATCCAACACCCATCCATTAATATAAATGAAATTGGTGATGGTTTTACTATCTTCAATCACCTTTGCTACACTTTTCTTATGGACTATGTCTTTTAGCATAAGATCAATGCAATGTGCCGAACAGGTTAGTTTTTGTTTTGGATCCTATTTCCTATCCCTACGGCCTTTGCAGGGAATTTTATATTTTATTGGGGTTTACTGTATTTGGCTCGTGCACCTGCGGATACAGTGTCCAGGGTCATCTATCTTGCTTGGTGCTACAGTTGCTGGAGTTTCTTTGTCAAGGCCGTAGCCTCCTGGATCAATGCTTCATTTTGTTTTTTCCTTTTCGTCTAGGCTGCTATAAATGTTTATATTTCTTGTTCACTCTTCCTATTGCTAGATTATAGGGATGGTGAACAGGTTGATGGGCTTTTGGTTTTGATTTCCTGTATAGCTGTGTTAGGTCCTGGGGTATGCCCCTTGTAATTGTGTAAATTTTCTTGTTTTATTTTATCTCTTATTCACCCAAAAAAAAAGTCAACGAAAAGTCAACCCCCGAGAGGGTGGAAAATGGCCAGAAAAGCCGGGAAGTGAAAAAGGTATAGGAATCGAGAGGAAAACGAGGGGAACAAACCCCAAAAAGTGGAAATGGCAAAGGAAGCACCGAAACAAAGAAATGTTCAGTTCAAAATGTTCGAAACGCGAAGAACTTCGCGAATCCAACGATGAAACGGGCGTGAAACGCAAGAAAACGGAGAAGGGAATAGGGGAAAATGCTCTAGAGAGAGAGGGGATGAAATTTCAGCTAGAGGGAAGTAAGAAAATAGGGTTTGAAACCCTATTTTAAAAGACCCAAGGTGAAAAGTCAAAACTGCCCCGATTCAGGCATTTTTGGCCGTCGGCTACGTTTTTGGCCGACCGGCCAAATATTTGGCCGGTGATGTATTTTGATGGCCGATGAACAGCCGGTGACTCCCCCTTTAGGCTGGTGAGCCCCCTACAACCTTGTTTAGGTCGGATCTGTGATTTGGGGCCTTCATTGCTCAAGATAGTACATGAAAAGGCATTTCCGAAGCTCAATCGCCCTCTGTTTTGGCCTCGGACCGTGTCTTCTGTGCGTGGCACTCGAATATGTGCGAGGAGTATCCTTTTTGTATCCTTTAGTCCCTTACAAGATGTGAACGTTGCCTTACTTGCATTGCATTACGACGCTTTGTCGTGAACGCGTGCTGGTTATGTGTTATCTAGTTCGCATTGTTGCGCACATATCTTGTAAGTATCATACACATGTCAATCGCATTGTCTTGTGCATTCCAAATCAATCGCACTGTCTTGTGCATTTCAAATCAATCGCACTGTCTTGTGCATTTCAAATCAATTGCATTGTTCTTAGCACTCGCGTTGTCCAACGCATCGCGCTATTTTGCGCATCTCATTGCATTTTGCATGCATTCCATCGCGCTATCTTGCGCTTCGCACTGTCTTGTGCACTCGCGTTGTCTAACGTATCGCACTATTTTGCGCATCTTATTGCATTTTGCATGCATTCCATCGCGCTATCTTGTGCATCGCACTGTCTTGTGCACTCTCGTTGTCCAACGCATCGCGCTATTTTACGCATCTTATTGCATTTTGCATGCATTCCATCGTGCTATCTTACGCATCGCACTGTCTTGTGCACTCGCGTTGTCTAACGCCTCGCGCTGTTTTGCGCATCTCATTGCATTTTACATGCATTCCATCGCGCTATCTTGCGCATCGCACTGTCTTGTGCACTCGCGTTGTCTAACGCATCGCGCTGTCTTGCGCATCTCATTGCATTTTGCATGCATTCAATCGCGCTATCTTACGCATCTCATTGCATTTTGCATGCATTCAATTGCGCTATTTTGCGCATCTTATTGCATTTTGCATGCATTCGATCGCGCTATTCTGCGCACCACACCGTCCTGTACATACGACGGTCTAGGAGACCTTAAATCCTCGGAAGGTGCAAGACCTTTAGTGCATTGATGTGCACAGTCCATTTACAATATCACGTATCTCAATAACCGCGCGTTGCCGCGCATTTAAAGTTCATGTATTATCATGCGTCCTACGCCACGCGTTGTCGTGCATTTCAAAAAAGCAACATGCATCATTCGCATTTCATCAAAAAATAGTGCATATGTCATGCATCATTGTAAATACTGCATATGCCATGCATTACATTGTAAATAGTGCATATGTCATGCATCATTGTAGATAGTGCATATGTCATGCATCATTGTAGATAGTGCATACGTCGTGCATCATTGTATATAATGCATATGTCATGCATTTCACCGTAATATAATGCATATGTCATGCATTTCCGCTGTAAATACCCATTCCATTGCATATTTGTAAATAGTGCATTGTAGTTTGCATGCATTCACTGCATCACTTCCATCTAGGGCTTGCGCCCTTCCATGTTGAGCTTGGTCTGGTATGTGCCCATACCTTTTACGTCTATACACTCATAGTTCTGTATGACCGTTCTATCTTAGACGTGGTTTGTGTGTGTCCATGCCTTTCCTCGGCAAGATTTGGTTTGGCTGCTTGCCATTTCCATTATATATTACATTGTAGTGTAATTTTTGCATCCAGCATTAGGATCATTGGTCTTTCTTCAGCGGGTCATTTCCCCACCTATGTCATCCCACCCAATTACCTGTTCTTGTGCCCGTCTACATCACTCATGGTTCTGCATGTGTACGCGCCTATTCCACGTTGGTATGTTGGTTTGAGGGTTGCGGCACCTTTTCTATGGTAGACGGACTTGTTACTTCCATCAATCTATTTGACATTTGTGTGGTTTCGAGCCGCTCATGATTTGATTATGATTCAATTGCATTGCATTTTCTTTTGCATTATTATACATAGTTTTGTATATATTGCATATCATTTTGCATTCATTTTGCATGTTATGCATGTTGCTAACGATATCATACCTGTTAAGTTTTCTTTCTCTTTCAGGCACGATATTGTATGTACGATTCATTTGAGGCTGGTGCAACCAGACGAACCGCACAGGTATTATATCCTCCGCGTGAGACGTATCGAGAATTGCATAATTCTCTTACATCTTTTCTGCATTGTAGTGTAGTTTGGTGTATGATAGCTTAAAACTGTCGCATGTTATGCTTCGTTACAGCTTTCTTTGCATGATCATAAGTTATGTTTGGCTTTGTGCATTGTCTTGCATTTTGCCCCTGCCTTCGGGCGCATATCTTGTCTGTCTTGCATGTTTGTCTAAGTCTTCGGCCTTGTCAAAAATGGGTCGTCTCTGGGCTTTAACATTCACTCCCGTCATTGTTATGACTTTCGAGTTCTGTCAAAGAGGGGCAACTGTAGACACCCCATTTTTGACCGTCCTCAAGACTTGGACGTCACCGCTTGAACACTCAGTGATCATCCATGTTTGTGTTCGTCTTGAGTTCCCGGAGGTCTCGGCTACGCGCCGTGCCTAAGGATCTCTCGACTCGACTGTTTTGTGTCTAGTTTTGCACCAAACACTTATGCTTTGCCTTGGAGGGGCAGGGAATGGCTTGTGGGCCATCCTCACACTCCACCGGCCATGGCTTGAGGCCACCGGCTGTTTTTTGTTGCAACCGACCAAATTCATGGCCGGCCGGCACTATAGATGGCCGGCCGGCTATCTTTTTTTGGTCAATTGCATTTTTGGTCGGCCGACTACTATGCATCTGCTTTTGCAGATATTTTCATGCAGCTGGCATGCACTTGGCTCCCCTCCATACACGTGTATGGAGGGATTCCCCTCTTAGCTAGCTTGTCTTGTAAGCTTACAAGATTGAAGCTCTATAAGAGGAAGCCTCCTCTCCCTCTTTTAGGGGTTAGAAAATTTAGACAACATTTTCAGAGAGCTTTGAGTTTTAGGGTTTGAGTGTTGTATCCATCCAATCTCTATTTCTCCCTCTCTTTAGCTCTAAGTGTGTGTTTAGTCTTATTATTGCACACAAACACATAGTATCACACCTTTCTTGGTTGCTGAGGGCCAGAGAAGTGTTCTTGGAGTTCTTGGAGCTGGTTTGGAGCCAAAGAACCTGCTGGAACTTCATTTGTGAAGAGGGTCTACAAGGGTAAGAAACTTGTCCCTTTATTCCCTATTTTTGCATTGCATTTTTGCCTACCTTGCATCTGTTTTTGAGCTTTGTGTATAACATATAAAAGTTCTAATTTTTAGTGCTCTAAATGGTTTGTTAAGGGTGTCTTAAGCTTTGAAGTTGTTTGGCCCCTCTTAAGGCTTGTTTAGCCCCATTTTGTGCCTTTTTTTGGTGAGCTCTGGGACCATACTGTTTGGGCCTCCTCACCACTGAGATTTCAGTGGTGAGGATGGTGCCTTGAGGTCCCAAGAAGGAGAGGGCCACCCCCTCTCCTTGTTGTCCTTGAAAAGGGCCATTTTTAGCCTCTTGAGGGAGCATATAGTTTGAGTATATATTGACCATGCCTTGACTGATTTTCAAGCTTATTATGTCATAATATAGCATTGTTGTATGTTGGTTTTGATACACCATCCTTGTCTAGCATACATACCTTGTAATGCCTTGATTTGCCTCAATACATGCATAGCATTTTGACTACCATGCTTTTGTGTTTTGGCCAAGCTTTGTGAAGCTTATATGCATATTTTGATGTGCTAAGGGACTATTTTAAGTCATTCGAGTCATCCATGCCTTGCTTTGTATAGCTACCATGTAATTCCTCTTGTATGCCTTAAGCTTTGGCCCTTCTAGCATGTCATCCTTGCTTTGTTTCAGTGGTTTGGAAACACTTGACATGTTATTTCAGACCTCATGATGTGCCCATATGCTTGCATTTGATCCCCCTTCAATGTGTTTAAATGTTGTTGCCTTATGCCCCTTGTTTAGGCCTTGGGGTATGCTTGCATTTTTAGACCACTTAGATGCCATCTAAGTACATCCTCAGCTTTGTTTAGGTCTGCATTAGACCTATTTTAAGTCCCTTTGGTCTTGTGAGGCTTGGTTGAGCTAGCCTTGGTTTACCTCCCCTTTGGCTTGCCTTAAGTCTTGGACCATTGTTGCATGTTTGGCTTGCCTTATTTACTTGGTTTGGCACCTTTATAATATGTTTTTCAGAGCTTTATGTGCATGCCATTAATCCATGTTTTGTCACTTTTAAGTGTGCTTAAAGGTTTCATGTTTGATGCCTGAGTGTTGGCCCATTAACATGTGCGTGTGTGTGTGTTGGCCCTCATTTCCATAGTATTGGCTACTGTTTTGGACCTAGTTTAGGGCTGCCCAATTAGTGTAAGTCCCTTCCTTGTATGCCATTCAAATGTCATTACATTATTCCATGGTTGCATGCTTTGGTTGCATGTGTTGCGTGCTTAAAATCACTTGCATTGGGTATGCATCCTCTTGGTCAAGTTGTTAGCATATTTGTATGACTTGCATGTTTGCATGGTTGAGTTGCACATTGCATACTTGATTAGCTTACATGGATTGCATGCCTAGTGAGCATTGTGCATTGCATCTCCATGTTACACACTTAGGCTCACATGCTTAGGTTGCATTGTACTAGCATGCATGCTTGGCCTCTTGAATTGCTTGTGATAGAGGTTGAGTTCAATTTGTTTGTTTATGTGCATTGCATGACATTTGAAATGAAAATGCACAACTTGGTCTCTTGGGCCATCACGCATTGAAATGCGCGATTGGTGGTCCGAGAACCAAGGGCCGTATCCCTTTGAGTCACAAACATGACAAGGGATGTGCCAGTGCACACATTCGCTTGAATTGCATTGCTATGCAAAGCTTTACCCTCTGCTGTTGTGAAACAGGTCCTGCAGGAATTTTCGGCCGATCGACTACACAGAGTGCCGACCGGCCATCCATCGGTGGCCGATGGATTCATCTTTAGCCGATGACCACCAAATCACAGCCGGTGATGATCCCCTTTGGCTGGTGGCATTCCCCAGCATCCAGTGAGAATATCCTGAGATTTTGGCAGTTTTCAGAGGAGTATAGTAGGGAAAACAGAGGCAGCTTGCGCATGGCAATGGACTTCCGAGCAAGACCGAACATGCATTGCATTGGGCTCTTTTCCCGAGGCCGTTTATTGCTTTCTTCGATTAGTTAATTTGCTTAACTAATTTAGTTGGTCTGTAATAATTAATTAGCTAGGATAGTTAGTTTGTTATTCGGACTATATTATTCTTTCGGACCCTCCAAGCGAGGACAATTGTGTAATAAGTGTGGGTGCGTGTGTGCATGTCTTCTAACCCCCGCTTCTTTCTCCCTTTTACTTACCTGCTTTGATGGTTAGTATTAGGACATGTTTACTTTAGCATACCTTATGCTATGCATGCATTCATCATTCATCAGTATTGCATGCACCGGGCTCGGCGCATCATGCTAACTGTATCGTATTTCAAATCTGACTTGAATACATGCTACTTGCCGCACTTTACATGCCATTTTAGGATTAGCCGAGCCTATCCTAATTGCATTCTGTATGCGTTGAATTAGCCACTTTAACATGAACTAGGATCACGCATGTTTGCTAACTAGTTTATTGTTTTGGCACGGTGTACGTTGTAAGTATTTATGCTTTAGCATACCGCATTCGTGTGAGTGTTGCCACAATAGCATGATTACCATGAGGCTAGCTGCTTATGTGATATAACTGCTTGAATGCCTGTGGATGGAGGTTGAATTAACTAAATTGGGATAATGCATTAAAACTGTGAGTTTTAAGCCCACTGGATAGTGGCAAAACCATCTTTTCCAAAGGCCCACTCGAGGGTGGCAAAACCTGCATTTCAGCCTACTTGCGAGTAGCAAACCATTTTCAAAACAAGCATGAAATGTTTTGTTCCAATTTAGGCAATTTGGTCTATACTTGTTTGCTGTGCGCATAACATAGTAATTCTAGGCTAATAACCGGAATAAGAATACATAACGTTTTCAAAAACGGATATCACGATTAGTAGAGGCTGATCTTCGGATCGGGCGAGATGGGGTGCTCATAGCTGACCTTCCCCAATCGTACCCAAGCTCCAGAGCCGAGGGAACTTTGGTGATGACGGACACGTGGCCTTTGGCACCAAGTCAGGGTTTCCTAAATTCCCCCTTAAAAAATATTTAGGTGGCGACTCTATATCTGGCAAAGCAGTCCATGTTTGGCACTTCTTTCAACATCTATTTTCTCAAAACGATTTGCCGAATTTGGACTCTTTGGTTCAGATTAAGAAATGTGACAATTTGAGAGTCTTGAACTGTAGTGAGCCAAATATGAACAGAACGGGGGGACTCGTCCTCTCGGGGCATTTGGGGACGTCTACACCCTGAAGGTCATTGCTCCACCTGCTCACCCCTCGAAGCATACGTTTGATACAATGATTGAGCTGAAGAGACTCCCTGATTGGGGCCTGTGCTGACTGTGAAAGCTAGGGACTCTATGTCTACCTCGAACTAGACACACCAGGTGCGCCACTCAACTAAGGGTAAGATCTCTTCATATGCCCTACCTGCCCACACTGATAACAAGTAGGGGGCTACCCTCTCCCCTAACTCTGGCTCTGAGGACGAGCCAACTATGATGCAGACCACTGCCTTCCTCCTCTCTGTGGGCAAGCTAGAGACTTCTGGCCCAACTAACCACACTTAAAGCAAATGAAATCTCCCTGACCACCTATTCCAGAACCCGAACTCGATACTGGAAAAGTGGACCTCGACTAAGCTCCCTAGGACTGTTGTGGATTAGAATCTCTCTGCCTTTTAGTGTCCGTCTGAACCTCCTAACTTCTCTTGGAGCCCCTCATATGCTCCTCCTCCATTTGCATCATGGTCTCAAGATGAGCCATCGGCTCTACAAGTCACCCGTAATCTCTAATCATCGAACCAGCTACCTTGAAAAAAAGCCTGGTCCTTAAACGTTTCTCAAACTCCACACAATGGCGCTCCTCTGTCACCACCAACTCTGGTGCAAATCTAGAGAGGCTACTAAAGGATGCCTCAAACTTGGCTACCGGTGTGTTCAACTGCTTGAGCTGTGAGAATTGCTCCCTTAACTTCTCCCTAACAATGGGAGGTAAGAACTTGTCCTGGAAGGCATCGACAAAAGCCTCCCAAGTTTCACTAATGCACCCACATTGACCTGCATCTCTCTTTAGCTGGAAGGATGCCAAGGTCACTCTCAAACCACCATCTTTGATGCCGAGCATCTCAAGCGTCTTTACCATTTGTTTGAGCCATTCATTCGCTTTCAAAGGCTCTTTAGGATTGCCCAAAAACTCGTCCAGGTTCGATCAAAAAAACTGACACTTCAGAAAAAGACGGCCCCGTCTCAGCAACATGAGCCTGGACTTGATTCTCAGCTCTAAAAATGTCCATGGATTCCTGCAATGCTCCAGCCATCTTGCGGGATAAGGTGCCCATGGCTTGATGACCTGTTGGTTCGGCTATATTGGCCTAACCAACTCCCTCCTCTTGTGCTTGAATATCATCCGGTATCGGCACCTCCTGTTGTCTAGGCCTATTATGCCTACCACCACGACCATATCCTGATATCCCAATAAAGGTAACAAAAGAGATTAGCACAATTACAAATGTGTCGAAGCTAACTCACTTGCGTCCTAATACGGTAGACAACAGTAATTCATTCCACATAAGCACATAGTCACATAAACACATATGAATTTCCTTCATGGATAATGATCGTCCCGCGGCATTGTCAAAGATCTAATTAGAAATAGCAGTGATCAAGTGCTCTTCTAATAGGACTTTTAAAAATCCGTAGACCGAATCAATATCCTAGAAATTAAATCTCATACCCATATAATCGCATAAGCATGTTATCACATAGCATACCATACATACAAATGTCTCTATCAAGCGAGACAAACCCATTGTGGTAATAACCACTTCCCACATACCTAAAGTATTCAAACCCAGTACGCTTTGATATCAAGTTGTAACGCTCCGAAATAAATGCAATATACCCATCTCAAAATAACTGATAAGTGGTAACATTTATGAATTGATAAGCTTTCATTAATCAGAGTTTGATATACAAAAGGTGACACATACGATATATATTCATAAACAGCATATCCTGTGTAATGACTCGGATTTTTAATCCACGTTTGATTGATATAAAGTGGTGCCCGTCACCTTAAAATTTGTATGGTTGTCGGACTCTTGATATTGATGGGCTGTAAGTGAACTTTAAATATTATAATTGAGGACACTTAGGTGATGTTTGGAACCTTGATTGAAGCCTTAACGCTCCAGCAGCCTTTCCAAGCTTAAATCCACTCAAAACATCAAGAACAACCCTTTGGCACCTCAACAACCAAGGTAAGGTGTGATACTAGGTGTCCTAGTGCAAAACTAAGAACAAATACACCTTATACACGCACAAGAGTGAAATAGAGGGAGATAGAGAGATACAAATCCTAAACCCTAATCTCAAACCCTCTCTAGAACTTTTTTGGAACCTTTGAGGAGGGAGGAGAAGCCCTCCCTTTATAGAGATAAGGTAAGGTGTGATACTAGGTGTCCTAGTGCAAAACTAAGAACAAATACACCTTATACACACACAAGAGTGAAATAGAGGGAGATATAGAGATAGAGAGATACAAATCCTAAACCCTAATCTCAGACCCTCTCTGGAAATTTTTTGGAACCTTTGAGGAGGGAGGAGAAGCCCTCCCTTTATAGAGATTCACTCTTGCAAAGCTTACAAAACAAGCTAAGCAATAGGGAAATCCCTCCATACACGTGTATGGAGGGAGTGCATTGTAGATGCCAGCTATCACAGCTAGCATAAAATATCTGCCAAAAGCAGATAAACAGTGATCGGCCAGGCAAAAATGACAAATTGACCAAAACAATGGTCGGCCGACCATAAATAGTGCCGGGCGGCCATTACCAATGGCCGGTGGAAACAAAACATGGTCGGTGGCCTCAAGCCATGGCCGGTGAGGTGTGGGGATGGCCAACAAGCCATTCCCTGCCCTCAGAAGCAAAACAACAAGTGTTTGGTGCAAAACCAAACACAAAGCTGGCAAGTCGAGAGGTCTTGAGGCAAGGCGCGTAGCCGAGACCTCCGAGTACTCCGGACGAACACAAACATGGATGATCACCGAATGTTCAAACGGTGACGTCCAAGTCTCGAGGACGGTCAAAAATGAGGTGTCTACATTGGGTAGAGATTGTTCACGATTAGTTGGAATAACTGTTAATTTTAGAATCTATTCCATTTTAGTTGTTCGAAACTCTAATTCATGAAGTGCCTAATTTTGGGGGCGAAATTTCTTAAGGAGGGGAGATTGTAATGACCCGGATTCTAATTCATATCAGATTGGTGTAAAGTGGTGCCCGTCACCTTAAAACTTGTATGGTTGTCGGACTCTTGGTATTGATAGGTTGGCAAGTGAACCTTAAATATTGTAATTGAGGACCCTTGGGTGATGTTTGAAACCTTGATTGAAGCCTTAACAAGGTATTTAGGCAAGATTAGATCAAAAGTCCCAAGTTTGAGTTTTTGTTTTTGACCAACCTCCACTCTTTTGCCCTTTTCTCCTTCCATACTTTGAATTTGAATTTGATGTTAGAACCATTGGAAAGCTTGTTTCTGGCGCTTCAATTTTGACACAAGAATGACCTAAGAGTTGTACCAGTTTGAATTTTGAGTTTCTATGCTAGAAGCATGCTCGCTCGAGCGAGCTTTTCTTTGCTCGAGCGAACTGCGCGATTTTCAGAGATTTTGGAAGCTTGTTTTCTATGCTCGAGCCAAGCTTCCTTCGCTCGAGCGAATAGGTCGCTAACAGACATTATAAAGTGACTTTTTGGCCCAAAAACTTTAATTTTCTCCCTCTCTTCTCCTCCCATCCTCCAAACCCGAAAACCTAACCTGCCAAACTCTTGATTTCTCTACTTTTACCAAAGATTCACCCCAAATCTTTCAAGAAGGTTGAAGAACAAGCATAGATCAAGAATTTTACGATTATTTTGTGATTTCATTGGAGTTTGAAGATGGGTCTTCATCCTTAGCTTCCAATCTTGAGATAGAGATACTTTTACCCTAGTATTTCTTTATTTTGAAGAGATTTCATGGTATTGTTGTGACCCATGAGCTAATTCAGGATATTGTTGGATTAAACCCATGTTTTACGTAAATAGACCATCTTACTTGATTTTTGCTTGAAATTTCTTAACTCATTTTTCAAAACATGTATATAAATGTTGTTAAAACCTATATCTATGACAAAGGAGAAGAACCCCCAAATTTGGTAAAACCCTAGCTTGGTACATGAAGATAGATGATAGTTTTGCTTAAATTGAAAGTAGTATCACGAAATTGAGATGTTAAATTGAATTTTAGATGTGTTTGGAAATTTATGTAAAGTTTTCGATTGAACTCTTATTATTGATATTTTAAATTATGTGATAATATGAAACAAAGTTTTGGAGGGAGAAATTGTCAACGGTATGGATGGTATGAATTTTGTGACGAAATGATGAAGTTGAAGTTTAAGAAGTTGCATTGAATTATGTTGAATTGCATTGCTGGATTGTGTTAAGTTGTGTTGGATGGTGTTATGTTGGTACTCGCGCGGGGAGATGAAAAAGGATTTTTGGGGGCCCATGTCCCGCCATATAATAGTCGGCAAATGTGGGGGAGTTTAAAAGGTGCCCAGATGCCTTGTCTAGGCTTAGCGCTGGACGAATGTGGGAAAGATGTTTAAGGGTGTCCACACAGTCCCTTCGTATAATAACCGGCAAAAGTGAAAAAACATATGGTTTTCTGGAGGAGCCCACTTCCCACTGTATAATAGTCGGCAAATGTGGAGATGTTTTGTTGAAAAAAAAGCAACTTGTGTTGGACTATTACATGGGACTCATGGTTTGTTTTCCATTGATGTGATTATTTAAATGTGTGTTGTAAAGGTGTGAAACATAATTGTCCATGCTTAATCGTTATGTATTTACATAATTGGTGAAGATTACATATGTTCATAACTCCTTATTAAGTTTTGTCTCAAGGATGCCATAAATTTATTTAAATGATTAAATACTTGGTTAAATGTATTCCTACTGGGCATATAGCTCAGCCCTATTTTCTTTTTTAGGAAATAATGTTGTATAACTACAATGGTGACTGGAAGTAAGCTGTGTTGGGATTGACAATTGAGAATATTTTGCTGTGAAGACTTATAGTTTTGTACTAGGACTGTTAGATTTATTTTGTTGTTGTCTTGTACACCTATGGGGTCCTTCTTTTGTAATTGTCATTTTGTTGTTGAACTTGGAGTTGGGTACAAGGTTTCATAGACATGTAAACATGGAAATTGTAAATTTAAATCTTAGTTCATAAAACTTCGCAGGTGTCATTAACGGTGTAAACTGAGTATAGGAGAAATGTTAGCAAGTCAAGAAGGAACCTAAACTTGAAGTTATGGGGTTTTAAATTAAAAATAAAGAATAAAAAAAAAGAATGAAAGGAAAAGAGAAGTATTAAAAATGGAAATAAAATAAGAAATATTTTGGGAATTGGTTAATAACTTTTAAATGATGTTGCTTCTTAAATATGTTTGTTTCACGAGGATCTATGGTTTTCTAAAGTAAATGGATGATTTTTAATGGCTGAAGGTTTTCCTCAAAAATATTTAATTAGTTTTAGAGAAAAATGTACTTTACTTATGATAATTTGGAATTATAAAATGTCACCCTACTATATGGTATCACCCTACATGCATGATCATTTCTATCTGTGTGTTAGTTATTGATTTAGAATTATGAGATTCCTACTGGGCATTAGTGCTCACCTCATTGTTGTTTTATCTTTTTACAGGAAGAAACTTTGGGAGAGAGAGAACATGTAATGTTATCATTGTAGCCTTCATTGAGAGAGAGAGAACATGTATCATTGTATTTCTATTACTCAAGGGTAATGGATGTTTGTAAAAATAAAAATAAAAAAAATGGACCTAATTTAAAGGCTTTGGTAATGTACAGTTAAAATTTGGGGCGTGACATCCTGAATCTACATCATGTATCATGAGATTGAGAAAAGAAATGAAAGCTAAACAGATAATTGTATGCCCTAAAGGCTTATATTTTTTCAAGTCCTTGCTTGGGTATATCAAAAGTGAGCCTTAAGCTTAATACATATAAAGCCCTAGGCTTGTACAAAGTTAAATACTAAATACAACACTGAGCCTTCAGCTCCACTGTCCTCTCAAGCTAAGTCCTTGGTGAAGGCATATCACCAGCACCTGAAAATGGTTTTTCCTATATAGGGTGAGCCAAAACCCAATAGAAATTATTCACCCAAAAAAAAACCCAATAGAAATAATCTAACATAATTAATGAATGT